TTACTGTCATAAGACATTAATATCAGGCCTATTATATTATTAACACTACAATCTTTATGTAGTCTCTTAGAAACTTTCAAGAATTAGAATAATTTGTATTAATAGCCTTTCAACCACACTGTATTCACCATGTCCATTGTCACGACGCGTTTTGCTCAAACCAGACTTCATGCTAGCTGAGATACAACAAACACAGCAGTGATCGGAACACGCTAAGCCAATTTGATACAAGAACAATTGTTATGATGTGTATACATTTTACAAGCCGGTGAATCGTTATTATAATTGTAATAAGTCTTGTCGGTGTTGAATATATTTAGCTTATTAACAAATGGCTTATATAAATAGTGTTCCGATCACAACTGTGTTTATTGTAACCCAGCCGGCCTGAAAAGCTCCCTCTGGATTGATCGAAACGCGTCGTCGACAATGGATATCGAATATATCGTGGTTGTAATACTATTATCACACACTCTTCTCATTCTTGAAAATACCTAACTATAAATTTAGCAATTGTTGTATTCTTCTGATATGTAAAGTACTGTTACAAAACCAAATTTAAATGTTGTCTCATTCCAACATATTGTTATAAAGTTAAGATGAAAATAAGACAACTGTTACGTCATGCTGCTACGTCATACGTTGTTACAAAACCATGAGACAAGCCTACAGTCCTAAACATAACAGATAACTAAAGTTAATATGTATATTTAATGCATGAAAACTTTTGTACCTAATTACCTTTTCTAACAAATTAATTTCTTAGGCCTAAATAGCAATTACACTAATTTTTGGTATATGTGCATTCAATCACAGTAGTTTCAACAATTAGAAGCATATAAAACTTAATCAAAATTTCTTGATCTCTTTAACACGTTTACAATATTAGTAAACGTTACTATGGGTTAAATGTGATAATAGATTCAGTTTTTAACGAACATCAGTAAAAACAAGATGAAATATGTCTTACCTTGAGTTGCGATATAAGCGTTCGGTTTTAACATACTCTGTAAAAAAAATATTTATTCGAATTTCTTTCAGTCTGAAACTTCGCGTGTCAAAAACATTTTATAACGTTAGATTAATAATCTTTGTCTACTAATTTTTTTAGGAAATGCATAAGTTAGATTCAACAGAGTATTAAAAGGAACTTATCACATATTATTTACAAAGTAAAAACAAAACAAAAACCTATTAACAAATAACTGTTAGGAAAACATTTAACTAATTAAAAATATGAGTTATAAAAAGAAATATATATATATATATATACATGTATGGTCATTACAAAAAGTATCACTTATTACGCAGCAGGCTACATATGTAAAATTTATACTAATTTGTTTAAATAAAACTTTATAAAAAGGCTGATTTACAAGAAGGATTTCATTAAGAAATGTACAGAATATATAGTTTTTTTCTATACTATCTTTTACATTTCCAAATAAACCATTAAGTAAAAGGCTTAACTTATTGCATTTTCGTTTGTGAGAATATTTTATATCCGAGTGTTCTTTATCTAATAAAACGTAAGTTGCTGCTGTTTAAGTTTATTAAACATGTTATTTCTGTTTTCTACCGTGGTATGTCGTTAACCAATTTTTTCTTGCTCATGATGTGTTTAATTTTTATATTCTTACCCTTGCAATGACATTTTTCCTAACAGCATCTCAGTCACTTCCAATCATAACGTAATGAAAGCTTCTTTGTTTTTAACTTGTCATTCCATCCTCAGTATTTCTATTAGTTTCTCAGTCACTTCACCATGACAGTTTGATTTTAGAGTCTCAGTCTACCAATCATAACGTAATGAAAGTTTCTTTGTTTTCAACTTATCATTCCATCCTCAGTATTTCTGTTAGCTTCTCAGTCACTTCACCATGACAGTTTGATTGTAGTTTCTCAGTCTACCAATCATAACGTAATGAAAGTTTCTTTGTTTTCAACTTATCATTCCATCCTCAGTATTTCCGTTAGCTTCTCAGTCACTTCACCATGACAGTTTGATTGTAGTTTCTCAGTCTTCCAATCATAACAAAATGAAAGCTTCTTTGTTTTCAACTTATCATTCCATCCTCAGTATTTCTATTAGCTTCTCAGTCACTTCACCATGACAGTTTGATTGTAGTTTCTCAGTCTACCAATCAAACGTAATGAAAGCTTCGTTTTCAACTTATCATTCCATCCTCAGTATTTCTCTTAGCTTCTCAGTCACTTCACCATGACAGTTTGGTTGTAGTTTCTCAGTCTTCCAATCATAACAAAATGAAAGCTCCTTTGTATCCAAACTATCATTTTATTCACAATATTTTTATTTCTACTACATTGATTTAGCTATAAACTGTTTTCCCTTTCACGAGTGCTTGTGCTCATTTTCTTTTGCATAATAATGTTTTTTGGTGTACGGTTTCTATAACTTCAACACGATATTTTAATTAGCAGCTTTTCTCGACTAATCTCCATCATGTTACGTTTGTTACAACTTATCTGTTCACTACTATGACATCTTCTTTACAGTTTTTTTCTGACCCCATCATAATATTTTGATTATAGCATCTTATTACTTTTTTGTTGACAGTTTTCTTGCTACACCAGGACATTTAGTTTACTGTTTCTCTCTCAGCCTCACAATTATGTTGATTTACAGTTTATTTGCTTCACCATGACGATTTGTTTACATATTTTCTTCTTCGCTAGTCGTTTTGCTTACAGTTTTGCTGACACAACTTGACGTTTTTTTTTACAGTTTTTTTGCCATATCTTCCCATTTTATGTTCAGTTTCTCTGCCTACCAAACTGTTTTGCTGTAAGAATTCTGCTCGACCTTGGCAACCATTATAGCTTCTCCGCTGTTCTTCCAGAGTGAAATTATCCAGTGTGATCATCAATGTATCTTATAGTCACCGTTTTCTTTAGTATATTTGTTATTTTCATAAACGTGTTTTTAGAGCGCTACAACGTGAAATGCCTATTAATCGCCGCTTGTATGTTTCTTAAGGATTTCATGAGATATGTTTCTTAAGGATTTCAAGAGGTATGTTTCTTAAGGATTTCACGAGGTACGTTTCTTAAGGATTTCATGAGGTATGTTTCTTAACGATTTCATGATATATGTTTCTTAAGGATTTCATGAGGTATGTTTCTTAAGGATTTCATGATGTATGTTTCTTAACGATTTCATGAGTTATGTTTCTTAAGGATTTCATGAGATATGTTTCTTAAGGATTTCATGAGGTATGTTTCTTAACGATTTCATGAGATATGTTTCTTAAGGATTTCATGAAATATGTTTCTTAAGGATTTCATGAGGTATGTTTCTTAAGGATTTCATGAGGTATGTTTCTTAAGGATTTCATGAGGTATGTTTCTTAATGATTTCATGAGATATGTTTCTTAAGGATTTCACGAGGTATGTTTCTTAAGGATTTCATGAGGTATGTTTCTTAAGGATTTCATGAGGTATGTTTCTTGAGGATTTCATGAGGTATGTTTCTTAATGATTTCATGAGATATGTTTCTTAAGGATTTCACGAGGTATGTTTCTTAAGGATTTCATGAGGTATGTTTCTTAAGGATTTCATGAGGTATGTTTCTTGAGGATTTCATGAGATATGTTTCCGAAGGATTTCATGAGAAAGTCTGTGACTACGACAAACTAAATTAGTAGTAAAAGTAAAATTTGTTATACTTCCTTGATACTCTCCTCGTTCAGTGTATAATACATTAGTCGTATCTGGACATTTTTTTATCTCGCCAACAAAAAATAAAATAATAATAATAATAAAACTGAAAATGAGTGTCGAGTCACCTTGATGTCGACTTTAACGATTATTCACAGCAAAAATTATGAGTTAATTCTACTTTATTTTCTTCTTCCTTGCTCGACGTTATCATTCTCATAATATACTTTAGAGTATAATCGTTACACAACCACTAACTTTACATGTTTTATACCAATTTCTAATATTTCGCCTCAATTTCACATCCCCTTCCTCAAAACACAAGGAAATACTGGACATCCAAGTAAAATATATCGCCTCAATTTCAAATACCCTTCCTCAAAACACAAGGAAATATTGGACATCCAAGTAAAATATTTCGCCTCAATTTCACATCCCCTTCCTCAAAACACAAGGAAATATTGGACATCCAAGTAAAATATTTCGCCTCAATTTCACATACCCTTCCTCAAAACACAAGGAAATATTGGACATCCAAGTAAAATATTTCGTCTCAATTTCACATCCCCTTCCTCAAAACACAAGGAAATATTGGACATTTAAGTAAAATATTTCGTCTCAATTTCACATCCCCTTCTTCAAAACACAAGGAAATATTGGACATCCAAGTAAAATATTTGGCGTCCACTTAATATTGTTTACTATTGCTTAAAATTAAAATAAATAAATCTAATCACAGATTTCACCTAATTATCCATAATTAGTTTAGTTGTAGTTGTGATAAACACGTAAAAGGATCACGGAAAAGTTTAAAAATAGATATCAACTAGTTTGTTTACGTGGTAAATATTTAGCCATAGACAGAAAGGAAAATGACATATAATATAGATATAAAAGATTAAAACCTTAAGGTATCTACGAAGCTACTTACGTCAATATAAGATGCGTTGATGTAATCTGAGTTAGGGATGTCAGGAAGTGGTTCTAAAACGACCCTGTTATAATCATCTGTGGTCGAAAATCATAGAAAAATTTTGTTAAGAAGGTATTCTAATTAACCGAAGCGAACAAGTAATTAAAATTTGAGCAAATTCCCCAAAATCTGTCTCAAATTTTGTTTTAATTTTCATGTTTCCCCATAAAAAATATTTATTACGTAATTTCACAATAATTAACAAATTATTTCCTAAACGCACAAATTGGAGATATTTCCAGTACAAAAGCTGGAAATACAAAAGTTATTGTTAGGGAAAGTAAAACGTGATCAAAATTCATGAAGTTTTTCTGTCAATTTTTATAAGATATATATTATCAAATTCTCCATTATAAGCACTATATTTTTAATAACTTTCTGAACGTTAACAATTTCGAGATGACAACTGATTGACAACAACATTCTTTTAGCGCAAAGCTAAACATGGCTCGGAAAATCAAAATCCCGGATTTTAGCGTTTACCGTATTTTTCGGAATATAAGACGCACCATTATTTGGGGAAAAAAAACAAAAAAAAACTATAGTCGAATTTGAAAGGTTTTTATTGACAAAAATTCAATTTGATACTTTAAAAATTAGTATATATTGTTCTAAACACAAAAGAGATCAAAACATCGAAATAAG